ATCAATACTTTTTAAAAATAGGGGACGAAACAATATTTCCTTATATGCAGAGTTCCTTTAATATGAGATTCTCGAATTTATAGTTGGTAGAATTATCTTGCTTTAGTGCTATCTATCATATCAGGTTAAGAATTAGAAATGTAATTTCCTAAAGATGTGAAAAAAGCCGTTGGTGGAAGGCAGAGTACAGCTTCAAAAGTGGATGACGGATTGAGCTGAGCTGTATAATTAGGACTTGAGGAATCTGCAGCTTCTTGGCTCAACGATGCTGGCGTTTAGAACTCCACTCATTGTTAATCCAAGAATTTCTAAGACAAAGGTGTTTTTGCTAGACTGAAAGTTTCATATGAACTGTCAGTTAACCCATCTCTGCCGCTTTACCAAGCACTCATGTGTTATATTTATATATTATCTCTGTATTTTTTTGGACTCTCATGATGAATATTCATGATTGTTTACCATTTGTTTATGTGTCTATTCCAGTTTTCTCTTAACATTACGCAGTCTGTTGGCCGAAAATGGTTTGTGAATCTGTGGTTCATGGTATTCTCTAAATATTTAGAAAAAGACCAAAGAATTCAGTAATCAATAAATGTAAGAAAAGGATGGGTAGAAGAAGATAGGCTGGGCGCTGTGGCGCACACCTGTAATGCCAGCACTTTGGGAGGCCGAGGTGGGTGGATCACGAGGTCAGGAATTTGAGACCAGCCTGATCAACATGGTGAAACCCCATCTCTACTAAAAATACAAAACTTAGCTGGGCATGGTGATGCACACCTGTAATCCCAGCTACTTGGGAGGCTAAGGCAGGAGAATCGCTTGAACCCAGGAGGCGGAGGTTGCAGTGAGCCAAGATCGGGCCACTGCACTCCAGCCTGGGTAACAGAGTGAGACTCTGTCTAAAAATAAAAAAAATAATAAAAATAAAATGTAAAAAAAAAGATATAACACTTAAAACAGTGAAATGGGTATGGGAAACTGGTTCCTTTGATGATTTAAAGGAAAATCTCTATTTTACCATAATCAGGGATATGAATTTTATTTCTTACTCCTCAAGCCTGTACTCAGCAAATCTTTGCTAAAAAAAATTTCCCAAATGATGAGTTTGTTTTCCTGGGGTTAAACCATATACATATACCCACTAGAAGCAATCGTAAAGAAATACAGAAAAAGGGCCGGGCGCGGTGGCTCAAGCCTGTAATCCCAGCACTTTGGGAGGCCAAGACGGCGGATCAGGAGGTCAGGAGATCGAGACCATCCTGGCTAACACGTGAAACCCCGTCTCTACTAAAAAATACGAAAAACTAGCCGGGCGAGGTGGCGGACGCCTGTAGTCCCAGCTACACGGGAGGTTGAGGCAGGAGAATGGCGTGAACTCGGGGGGCGGAGCTTGCAGTGAGCTGAGATCGCGCCACTGCACTCCAGCCTGGGCGACAGAGCGAGACTCTGTCTCGAAAAAAAAGAAAAAGAAATAGAGAAAAAGTTTTGCTTCCCTCACTTTTGGTCAGTCTGTTCTTAGGATCAGAATTAATGTTCCTTCCTGTAGGACACAGCAATGCAAAAAAAGAGGAAGCACAAGCTCAAAAAACAAATCTAAAGTTTGGAGAAATAGATTTCATTTTTAAACAGTCTCAACATGGAACTTGCATGGGACATCCATGGCAGGACTGACAGGTTCCATGACCAAAATGGTACAGCCCTTCCCACCTTCTCATTTATTCTGCTTTGTAACTTAACACTATTATGCCAATGATAATTTAACTAGAAAAAGTTCCTGAGAGAATAACAAATCTGTGATTTTATTATGTCTTTTAATTGATCATGTTTTGCAGCTTTCAGATTCAGATGTCAATAATTTGTTTCTATTATCAGAGTATATAAATCCCATGCAAACATATCTCAGCATAACTGATTTTGTTTCCAAATCATTAAACAGGATAAAATGTTATTTGTTGTAAGCTGTTGACATTTGTAAGGGAATTTTGTTTCACTGAATATTTTTAAAGATGCCGCCAGAGCATTAACCGTTATTTCATTTTTACGTAAGTTGAAGAAAAATGAAACTAGATAGTATGTTCTCGGTTTGCAATCTACAAAGGGGAATTTTATTGCTTAAATTAAGATTTCATTTTCTGGCCTGCGCAAGAGACTTCTATATCTAAAATATGGACATACGTTTTTCATATTTTAGAGTTCATTGTATGGAAAAATACCATCAAAGTTGACCAAAAAATTTTGAAAATCCTTACCAGTTGTTTGTCATATGTGAAAGTCTTATGATTACTTTACTTTTATTTATTTTATCTTGTTCTCTTGCTGGTTATTGGCAGACTCAGACTCAGTCTTTCTGTTTTCACAAAGAACTCATGAAGAGGACGATAGGGAAACCCACGTATGCCTTTGAGGCTAGGGACTATGTTGTAAGTTCACCTGTGATGGCCAGGTCATACAGTCATGGCACAGCCACTAACCCCATTCACAGCACCAAGACTGGGGACCCAGAGGCACTCTGTTATGCTTCCACACTACAAAATGAAATTCTTAATTGAGAGAACTGGATACCAGGAAAAAAAAAAAAAAGAAAAAAGCCTAATCGTGTAAATTCAACCACAGGCAACTTTATCCGAAAAAGCTTGCATGAATAAAGGAAGCAAACTTTCTAATAACAGTGGTGAGCTGAGCTTGTTTTTTTTGTTTTTCTCTTTTCATTCTAGTTCTGGTAAAAATCTTTAAAGGGACTGTGACTGCCGTCTGAGATATCATTGAGTATGACTTTACCGCAGAATTTCACGCATAAAAACACAGCTGCAGTGCGTGGTCACGGGAGAGTGGCGCTCTTACAGACGGCAGTGTAGCTCAGTCACCCATATCCATGTTTGTAACAAATGGATCCATAAGGGAGTTATGCCCTAAAGCTCGGAGAACAAACAAACAAATCAAGGAAGCGTGAGCGATTTCCTAGCACAGTAAAATGATTTTGCTTCTCTCTATGTATCTATATATTGATTTTTCACTGTCCCCTTTCTTTGTACTTGAGGTTAGTCCTGTGACTGTCCAATAACACATGGGCCCGCCTGGGCTGCGTTCCCCATGTGTTATTGACGCTTGTGGCTCCCACGGCTCTTTAACTGTCGCCTGAAACTGACAGCTTTTTAATTCTTCAGGTGTCTAGCAATGCACTTAATGAAATCTTCAAAATTATTATTTTAGCCAGTGATTTCGCTTTCTAATTTTAAGAGAAATTCTAATTGGCTGGCTTACAACTTAAGACTGAAAACCAGTATAGAATGATTAAAAAGAAATTCCACGTACTGTGATGGCACTTCTCGTATTAATAGATCATCCATCACAAATAAAATGGAATTTGTCTGAGAATTTGGTATTTCCTATTCAATGGGGAATCTTTGTTCAATCCTAACGACTCATTTTTACTATGAAGTGTTATAATCTTCCTCTATACAATATTTTGAGGTGAGAACTCTGTGGAATGCTTAAGGAAGAATATGTAACTTTGCGTAATGAAAGTAGCCGAGTAGAGAGCAAATAGTGTATCTAGTTGAAATGTTAGTTCTTTGAATTAGCAATGTTTAGACAATAATGTGTGAGAAAATATCTGTATATGGTAGTGTGCCTTGTAGGAAAGATATTTGGAGTTTTCTGCTGTGCACCATAAGTCTTGTCTGTGCGTACGATGAATTCCAGTTGTGATCAGTAGATTTATGCTCAAGTTCACAGGTGGGCTGGAATCTCTGTAGGCTGCCTATGTCAGACAGTCAGGAATGTGACTGTATGTACCATTTTCCCCCTGCCAAAGTTTATCTTTCTGTTTCTTTCCTGTAAAATCTCATGTTTCTATATAGTGACAATTTATTTAAAAGGTCATTTTTTATTTACAAAGAAGCGTCAACTTTGAATCAATCTCAAATTAAGAATTAGTTTTTTAGGCCGCGTGTGGTGGCTCACACCTGTAATCCCAGCACTTTGGAAGGCTGGGGTGGGTGGATCATTTGAGCCCAGGAGTTTGATATCAACCTGGGCAACATGGTGAAACCCCCATCTCTACCAAAAAATACAAAACATAGCCAGATGTGGTGGCACGTACCTGTAGTGCCGCCTCCTGTATGTACCAGGAGACTGAGGTGTGAGGATCACTTGAGCCCTAGAGGTTGAGGCTTCAGTGAGCTGAGATTGTGCCACTGTACAACCTGCCCTGTCTCCAAAAACAAAACCAAAAATCAGCAAATTGATAAGTAAATACATACTTTAAAAAGAGCAGTCATGGCCGGGCACAGTGGCTCACCCCTGTAATCCCAGCACTTTGGGAGGTGGGCGGATCACGAGTTCAGGAGTTCGAGACCAGCCTGAGCAACAAGGGGAAACCCTGTCTCTACTAAAAATTCAAAAAATTAGCTGGGCTTGGTGGCAGTCACCTGTAATCCCAGCTACTCAGGAGGCTGAAGCAGGAAAATTGCTTGAACCTGGAAGGCAGAGGTGGCAGTGAGCCAAGATCACGCCACTGCACTCCAGCCTGGACGACAGTGCAAGACTCTGTCTCAAAAAAAAATAAAAAGATAAAAGAGCAGTCACAGTGGATAATTCTCCAAATGGGCTCAGAGTTTCACAGAAAGCCTCAGCAGACACCATCCACGGAGCGAGGGGTGACACCCACTTCTCCGGGGGGAGAGAACGTTGTCCTCTAGCCTGGCTGCAAGTCTTTCCAGGTCCTGCTGGTAGTTTCTTAGAGCAACTGCTCGTCAGCTCTTTGTTACCAATTTACCCATTTCAGACTTTGCCTTCATGTCAATGTTTATATTTATTAGAGTTCCTTAATATTAAAATATTACTTTCCTGTCATGGAAGTCATTGGTGTTCAGACTTGTTTTAGTCTGTGTGAAACTTTCCATGGGAAATTTGGAGAACAAAAAGGTTGTGTGATTATATTTTTTCTTTTTCTTTTTTTTTTTTGAGATGGAGTTTCGCTCTCGTTGCCCAGGCTGGAGTGCAATGGTGCGATCTCGGCTCACCATAACCTCCGCCTCCCGGGTTCAAGCAATTCTCCTGCCTCAGCCTCCCAAGTAGCTTGGATTACAGGTGTGCACCACCACGCCGGGCTAATTTTGTATTTTTAGTAGAGACGGGGTGTCTCCATGTTGGTCAGGCTGGTCTCGAACTCCCGACCTCAGGTGATCCATCACCCTCTACCTCCCAAAGTGCTGGGATTACAGGCGTGAGCACCCAGCCCTGTATTTTTTCTTTGATAGTCATTATGTGTCACCAACTACAAGCTTCCTTTAGTTTACATCTAGGCTGAGGTGGCCAGTACAGGCCTGTAACAGAAACCGTCCTTTTCTCTCTGATCTTTGCTCTGGCAATGTGGAGCCTAAGAAGAATTTCATTAGGGAGCAGCCCTTCTTGTGAACTTTTGCACAGATCTGCTACAAGTCATTTTTATAAATCAGCGGGTAGACGTGTGTTATTGTAATATGGCAGAACTGACCAAGTTCCTCCTCTTCTGATGTGTTGTTTTTGTTTTTTTTTCTCTTTCTCTCTCTCTTTCTCTCTATTTTTCCCATACCTCTCCAATTTTTACATGAAGCTTTCTCTCAAGCTGGTAAGCACAATTGTTCCATGCATGTCCTGAGTCTAATCAGGTTTTCCGGCGTGTCTTTTATGAATGCTATGCCATGCACAACATGTCTTCAAAGTTAACTTGGTTTGTGTTTCTCTTACGTGTGCTTTTGTTGGTGTTTCCTTATTAGACTTCTTGGATACAAAGGTCCAGAATCTAATAGAGGTGATCTTAATCTTTTCAAGTTGCTAAGAAAATTAACACTTAACTCACGACTTGATGTTATTACTGGGGCCTTAAGAGGAGGACAAATGTTAATAAAGTGTCTATACAAATATGAACGTAAAGGCCGGGCGCAGTAGCTTACGCCTGTAATCCTAGCACTGTGGGAGGCCAAGGCGAGTGGATTGCCTGAGCTCAGGAGTTTGAGACCAGCCCGGGCAACACAGTGAAACCCCGTCTATACATACAAAAAATTAGCCGGGCGTGGCAGCGTGCGCCTGTAGTCCCAGCTACTCGGGAGGCCGGGGCAGCGAACTGCTTGAACCCGGGAGGTGAAGGGTGCAGTGAACCAAGATTGCAACACTGGACTCTAGCCTGGGTGACAGAGCAAGACTCCTTCTCCAAATATATATATATATATATATATGTATATGTAAATATTAAATCTTGGGGGGTGTCTGTTGGATCATTTTGATATAAAAGTAAATTTAATAGTTGAAAAATGTTCCTATTTGAGAACCATAGAAGTAGATGAAAATATCTGGGAGCCTGAAGGAGCCGTGCAGGAATGATCCCAGCCGGCAGCGGCTACCCGGGTTTGAGGCCACCTGTGGGAATGGAAGACTGTGGAATCTTTATGGCGCGACGTAGATATGTTGGTGCCTTG